TTAAAATTTGATCTTAAATTTCAGCAAAGTTTTGGAGTTTTGGGAAGGAAAAACAAGTTTCATACAATACAATATTACTCAGTGATAAAAATGAGTGAACTACTAATATGTAGAACAACACAGAAAAACCTCAAAAACATTCTAAATGAAAGAAGCCAGCCACAAAAGACTACATGCTGTATTAATCTACTTATATGAAATTTCTAGAAAAGGCAAATATATAGAGACAGAAAATAGGTCAATGGTTTCTGGGAACTGGGGTGATGGAAATGTTATAAATTGGATTGTGGTGATGGTTCATAACTGTAAAATTTTCTAGAAATCACTTAACTGGTTACAATGGGTGAATTTTGTGATACACAAATTATGCCTCACTGTAGCTGTTCAAGTTAGGGAAGGAAAGAAGAATGACTGTGCCTTTCCTATAAAAACTGTTATTTCAGGGTAACCAAATTATTGATAGAGAAAATTTCTCTTATAGAACAATTCCAGCTAATAAATACAAAAAGAATGACAATATCAGAAAAATCACATTTTGTAACTCCTAATGAAAAGATGGATCTCAGTGGATGCTAAACCTATTAGATGAAAGGAAGATGAGGAATTTTACAGTGGAGGAATTAGAAAGATTATGCCTGGAGGCAAATGATCAATCTTAACACCACTAAACTTAAGACAATCAGACATTATATGCCAGTTGATATGATGCAATAATAAGTACATAGTGCCAATTATGAAGAGTTCTTGCCCAAAAATAAAATAAGCCTGAATCTAATCAAACCTCTTGGTCTAATTATGTTTACATAATACAAGTGATAAACAAGCTAAACAAGACTTTAAAGAAGCAATCAGCCTCACATGTCAAAATTCATCAAGTTGTACACTAAGATTTGTGCATTTTATTGTATGTACCTCAATATAAAAGTTTTTTCAAAAATAAGTAGACAAAATAGTGAGAAGGAGGAGGAGGAGGAGAGAAGCAGCAATGATCACCCAAATCTAAGCTGTAGGATATCCTAAAGGACCCATTTTTCTAACATTCATGGAGTTAAAAAAAAAAAAAGTGAGGGACACTACTACAGGCAAAAGAAACTTAAGAGCTAAACAGCCATACATGATGTATGAACTGTACCTTGACTGGACCCTGATTTTAGCAAACCAACTGTAAAAAGACATTTTGGTGACAACTGCAGAAATGTGTATAACGAGTTTGTATTTGATGTTATTAAGGAATTAAGGAATTACTGCTAATTTTGTTAGGGGTGATACCAGCATGGTAATTACATTTTTTAAATAAATCTCCATCAGTTAGAGGTCATGCCAGAGTAATTCTGGTGAAATGACATACAGAATTTGCTTTTAAAGATTCCATAAAATTTTTAAGTGGCAGGGTATACATGTAATAAGATTGTTAATGTCAAAAATTGTTGAAGCTGGGCAATAGGTATACAGGACTTCATTCTATGCTCTCCACTTTCAGCATGTTTTTAATTTTTCATATTAGTAAGGTCAGGGAACAGTTAAAGATTACAAAACTGAGAGGGGGAAAAAAAGTAAAAGAAAAAGGAGAGGTGGCCAAAGCTCACAAGAGAGGTCAGTGATAAGGACTAATGTGGAAGTCATCAGAAGGTAGGTGATACATGAAGCCAAGTCTTTGGAGACTATCATATAAGGAGAGAGCAAAAACTAAAGAAAAAGTGATCAGAGAAGTGAAGCCAGTGGAAGAGCAATATTTAAAGACAGAGCAGAGAATGATGAACTTGAGAAAGATACCAAAAAGTGGAATGTCAGTGAGGTGAGAAGGAAACTTAGAGAAAAACTAAATCAGGGAAATCAAGGTAAGAAAGTTTCCAAATAATAATCACTTTCCTTATTACCCCCCAAATTCAAATTAAGTAGAAAAAAAGAATTATGTTTTTAATAAATTTCAGAATGAGGAAAGAATTGTTTACTAAGATACACAATTTCCCAGATACTGAACAAGATGCTTAAGAATTATTAAAAAGTCATTTACCCACTGGCACCAAATTCCCACCTAGCTAGTCTGCCACAGTGGAAGACAGAATACCTAGGTGCTAGAACAGCTATTATTAAAATGAATAAGAGACTGACACCATCCATAAAGAGTTCTCTGGAGAAGAGTCATGAAATTATAAGTCTCATGAAGGTTAAATTTCATGATAAGCCAGCCTTATTCCTCCCTTACATGCTCAGATTCTAGCATATGGCACCAGTTCCATGTTTTCACACACTGATAGAGTCCCAAAGGGGTGTGAAGGGGGGAAGGCGTAGAGGGGACAGTTAACACTGATGATGCCTAATACAGTTGGCATTTTGAGCCACAGTTATATATTAGAGCAGTCTGGTGATTCCAGATCCCCTTCCAAATGCAAGGATATATAAGAGCTTTTTATTTCATATCAAGAGCTTGAATAACCTATTCTCAAGTGTATACCTTTTCATTGCTGCTCTCACAAATACGGTTGACTCTTGAACAATACAGGGGTAGGGGCTTGGACCCCCCATGCAGTTGAAAATTCATGTATAACTTTTGACTCCACAAAAACTTAGCTACTAATAGGCTTCTGTTGACTGGAAGACCTACTGATAATATAAACAGTCAATTAACACATTTTTTCCCTTTCTTTTTCCCACCCTTATCCCTCCCTTCCCACCCATCCTCCCCAGTCTCTTTCCCTTTGGTCACTGTTAGTCCATTTATAGGTTCTGTGATTCTGCTGCTGTTTTTTTCCTTCAGTTTTTCTTTGTTCTTATACTGCACATATGAGTGAGATCATTTGGTACTTGTCTTTCTCCACCTGGCTTATTTCTCTGAGCATAATAACCCTCTAGCTCCATCCACGTTGTTGCAAATGGTAGGATTTGTTTTCTTCTTATGGCTGACTAATATTCCATTGTGTATGTGTACCACATCTTTTTTATCCATTTATTTACTGATGGACATTTAGGTTGCTTTCATTTCTTGGCTATTGTAAATAGTGCTGCAAAAAAACACAGGGGTGCATCTGTCTTTTTCAAACTGGGCTGCTGCATTCTTAGGGTAGATTCCTAAAAGTGGAATTCCTGGGTCAAATGGTATTTCTATTTTAAGCATTTTGAGGAACCTCCATACTGCTTTCCACAATGGTTGAACTAATTTACATTCCCACCAGCAGTGTAGGAGGGTTCCCCTTTCTCCACAACCTCGCCAACATTTGTTGTTGTCTGTTGGATGGTGGTGATCCTTATTGGTGTGAGGTGATATCTCACTGTGATTTTAATTTGCATTTCTCTGATGACAAGCAATGTGGAGCATCTTTTCATGTGTCTGTTGGCCATCTGAATTTCTTCTTTAGAGAACTGTCTATTCAGCTCCTCTGCCCATTTTTTAATTGGATTATTTGTTTTTTGTTTGTTGAGGTGTGTGAGTTCTTTATATATTTTGGATGTCAACCCTTTATCGGATCTGTCATTTATGAATATATTCTCTCATACTATAGGATACCTTTTTGTTCTGCTGATGGTGTCCATTGCTGTACAGAAGCTTTTCAGCTTGATATAGTCCCACCTGTTCATTTTTGCTTTTGTTTCCCTTGCCCAGGGAGATATGTTCATGAAGAAGTTGCTCATGTTTATGTCCATGAGATTTTTGCCTATGTTTTTTTCTAGGAGTTTTATGGTTTCATGACTTACATTCAGGTCTTTGATCCATTTCAAATTTACTTTCATGTATGGGGTTAGACAGTGATCCAGTTTAATTCTCTTACATGTAGCTTCCCAGTTTTGCCAGCACCATCTGTTGAAGAGACTGTCATTTCTCCATTGTATGTCCATGGCTCCTTTATCATATATTAATTGGCCATATATGTTTGGGTTACTGTTTGAAGTCTCTATTCTGTTCCACTGGTCTGTGGCTCTGTTCTTGTGCCAATACCAGATTGTCTTGATTACTGTGGCTTTGTAGTAGAGCTTGAAGTTGGGGAGTGAGATTCCCCCCCACATCATTCTTTCTTCTAAGGATTGCTTTGGCTATTCGGGGTCTTTGGTGGTTTCATATGAATTTTAGAACTATTTGTTCCAGTTAATCGAAGAATGCTGTTGGTAATTTGAAAGGGACTGCATCGAATCTGTATATTGCTTTGGGCAGGATGGCCATTTTGACGATATTAATTCTTCCTAGCCAGGATTATGGGATGAGTTTCTATTTGTTAGTGACCTCTTTAATTTCTCTTAAGAGTGTCTTGTAGTTTTCAGGGTACAGGTCTTTCACTTCCTTGGTTAGGTTTATTCCTAGGTATTTTATTAACACATATTTTATATGCTACATTTATCATATAGTATAGTCTAACAACAAAATAAGATAGAGAAAAGAAAACATTTTTTTCAAATTGTAACAAATCTCCAAAAAGTATTCCAATATATTTATTGAGAAGAATCCATGTAAAAGTGGACCCCTATAGTTGAAACCTGTGTTATTCAAGTCAACTGCAGCTTTTATAGTTTTACAGTTTTTATAGTTGAGTCCTACTACTTTGAAGAATATACTGTAATCCACAGCCTTGAGAATGTCACTTTCAAATAATTTATTAATATATTAAGTGTAATACAAAATGTTAATCACATATTTTAAGGTACCATTACTTCAATCTCCTATTATTTACTCTCTTGATTTGCAGTGTTTGTTTGTGGGGCTACATCCCACCTAACATGAATCTCTATCCTTACATCATAAACATTCCATATCACTCTTCAATAAAAAGTCCAATCAGGTCATTTTGATTTCCAAAACAGAAAAGGAAAAAAATTTCCACCCTCTTTGCAGCACATGTATTCTGTATTATTTCCAGGTATATTCTGAAATTCTAAAAAATATTTTTGAAAAGTCCCAGTTCAAGATTTTAAAAATTTTTATTAGACACTTTTTAACTTTTATCTAGCCCAGGCTTAAAAACATAATTCTAAAATGTCTTAGAATAAGGAATTAAAGGTTAACAACTTACATTCAAGCTGTGAAACCACATCTCCAGGGTCTACTGCTTCAGGGAACACCTACAGTGGAATAATGTAGAGGGAAGCAGGATGGAGAAAGGAAGGTGAAAGGAAGATACATATAAAACAGTCTTCATTTTTTTCCCTCTCATTCACAAAATATTCCTTTCCCAAACAAAGAAACTTTTGATATTATTGAGGGCAGTCACTTTCTCCCTGCTTTCCATGATCTCTATGGAAGAATCTGCAAACAGTGCATAGCTGGCTCTGCTTCCTTCTAGACCAACTTCATCTGCTAACACTCTTCCCTTTGTGTGTTACCATGGTCACACTGGCCTTCTTAGTGTTCCTTCAACTCATCAAGCTTATTCCCAACAAGAAGCCTTTATATTTGCTATTCTTCTGCTTAGAATGCTTCTCTCCTAGACCTTCGGACAACTGATACTGTCTCATGTCTCATAATTCAGATTCAGCTTCAATGTTACTGCTTCCTCGGACAATCTCCCTAATCCCTCAGTCCCTCTCTGTCCCCTTCTCTCCCTTTGTACTCTTCATGATACTTAGCCCTCTCTGAAATTGTATTAAGTTATTCATGTGTTTACTTGATTATTGTCTGTTTCTTATATTATAAGAAAATCTCCAAGAGTGGAGGATGTTTGTCATTCACCCAGTACCTAGAACAGTGCATGAGACAGAGTAGAACAGGGTATTTGTGAAGGAAAGAAAGAAAGAAGGAAGCAGGGAGTTGGGTGAAGGAAGTAGAGAAGGAAAGAAGGAAACAAAATGGGAAATATTAATTGTAATAATAAACCAAAAGCAGCAGTTTTAGTGGAAAAAAGAGACTTGTAGAAAAAAGTACCACAAGATAGCCATAAGTAAAATATGACCTATTATATGTTTCCTCTCTCTTTTTTATGAAAATTATTTAGAATTCAAGGTGGTATACTTTACATATAGCCCACTAATAACATTTTAAAAATAAGCTGATCCATCATGAAAAAGAGGCAACTGATTCAATGCATAATAAAGTGTATATTTATTTTCAAGCTTCCACATTTAAGTTACAAATCTCTTTTTGAATTACAGTATATAATCAGCAATAACTCTGTTCTGGGCTTTTATTCAAAATTTAGGAGCACTTTGATTTTTTTGTTTATATTTGATCTGATATTTGAACTCACCTTTTCAAACACCATTCTGGTATTGAAGATCAGTGGAAAAATGGCTGGGACACATTGTGTCTTTTTGTATTGGCCAAACACACAGATGCTAAGATAGATGTCCTCCTTGTCTTTCAGCACCACTCCTGGACAAGTTACCTGAAAGAAATTAGATGGATATAACGACTGTATGTATTCCCTGAACTATCCTATAAATATACCTTATGAAACATTACATAAAAATACTCACCTGCTAATAAAAGTATGTACAAATAAAAAAAGAGAAAGATTCTAATGTTTACAGAGTTAAATGAAATGCTTTTATAACTTCCACCCATCTGAGAAATCTATAGTTTTCCATTTGGTTATTTGTGCCACATTTAAAGCTCTACATACTGGCTCTTAGGACAGACACTAATAGTTTTAAACAGTCAGCTTCAGGCACCTACTTTATGTGAATGCTTATATAAACTTATTCAGCATCATTTAATCACAAAGGATTAGGACTCAGCAGAAATAAGGCACTATACTAGAGAATAACAACAACAAAAAATACTGATAAAAAGCACAAATCTGACCTGTATCACCCTAAACGGCAGCCCCTACACACCCTCATCAAAAGCAATGACACAGTTTCAAAATCAGTGAATTATAAGTTTCTAGCCAAAGAGGTATTTTTTAAATATGAAACTGTACTTAACTGTCCTTATGATTGACAGAAAGTATAGGCATAAAATGTGGGGTTTGTAAAAAATATGTAGCTCTGTTTCTCCAGGCTTTGCCATATTTTACTGTCAGTGATCAACCACATCCTTAATAGGATATTTTTTTCACTGTTTTTTTATTAAGGTATTATTAATATACACTCTTATGAAGATTTCACATAAAAAACAATGTGGTTACTACATTCACCCATATTATCGAGCTTAATAGGATATTAACAGCTCTCTAAGATTTGAATCCAACCCACCCACATAGTAATATTACTCAACACCCTCAAGAACACAGTCAAAGTATATATTTCTTATTGTTCTCTGAACACACACATTATTTTCTTGCCTCACATTCTTTTATCACCTGGATTTCTACTCCTTACTAATCCATTCCATCTCCTCATTTACTCTCACCATCTCCCAAGGCTTACATCTATTGCCATCTCATATACAAAACATCTCTTGCTTCATCAGCTATCATTATTCTATTCAATCCATTTCAAATATTCACTATGAATTTAATATACTCAAGTAAGTATGTTGTAGATTCTCATAGCATTTTATAGTTCTCTTAAGGCCCTAATTGTCTCCATGCATTTTAATTGAGTGGGTACATCTCTCCTCATTTATTAGATCATAAATTCCCTAAGGACAGAAGTTTTATTTTCCTCATCATTGTATCCAAAACACAGACTTTAAGTACCAAGAAGGTTCTTAGATATTACCTAATACAGCTTTGGATTTTTTTCCAAATAATGACAGAATACAAGGAAGTGTAAATGATTTACTTACCTAAAGTCACACAGTGAATGTGTCAATACAATCCACTCAAAGAGCTTAAAACAGTGCCTGACAAAGCACTCAACCAATAGTAGCTATGGTTATTGTTAGACTGAAAACCATTATCTGCCATCTTAACACCAATATTGCACTGAATAAATGACTAAGATTTCATGTCCCTTTACACATAGTAATTACAATTATTTTCTATGCCTACTATTTGACTCCATCTACTCTTATTCTATCTTCTACTTTTGTCCTAATATATTCCTCATTAATTATTAAAATATATTAAAATCAAGGTCCTTAGCATATTTCATTTTGTCCATCAGCTTCATTTCCTATCTGCCTTATGAAAATCAAATTTGTTAGAGTCCTTCTAAATCCATGTTATCCAACACGGTAGCTGTTAGATGCTTATGCCTACAGATGTGGCTAATTCAAACTGAGATGGACTACAAATGTAGAATACAAGATTTGGAAGATTTTGAAGACTAGTTCAAAAAGATTTTGAGACTCCTTACAAAATAATGGAATTATCTCATTAACAACTTTCATATTAATTAAATGTTAAAATAACACTTTGACTATATTGATTTAAATTATTACTAAAATTAATTTTATCTACTTTTTAAAAAAATTTTAATGTAGCTAGTAAAAAATTCTGCATTATATTCTTGGCTCAAGTTGTATCTCATATTATATTTCTATTGGACAGTGCAGCTTTAATTGTCCTCACTGGAAACTATTGAGTCTCTTTCCAATTTAAAAATATATGCAAGGGGGCATCACGTTTGTTTCTCACCCACAGTTCTACAAGTTCTGCCATTCTTTAAACACCCTCAGGAGGAATACCCAGCAGCTTAACAAAAAGAAAGCAGGGGGGATTTAAAATAAATAAGATAAAAACAAATAGAAAATACATAGCAAAGTGGTTGACTTAAAACAACTGTATAGATAATTGCATGAATATAAATATTCTAAGCATTATAAAGAAAAGGCAGAAATTATCAGATTGGATAAACAGCAAGACATGATATGTTGTCTGCAACAAAAGCCACTTTAAAGATAAAGACCCACATAGAAAAAGTGCTTTCAAAATAGTAGAACAAATACCTCTAAAAATCAGCCCTTCTATATATAAAAGCAAAGAGAATACTACCAATAACTGTCAAAATCAACTTTTTAGAGCTTTGGAAATTAACCAGAGGTTTACAACAATCTAAGAAGCATTTAGTCAAGAAAAATAGCTGAATTTTGGTAAAAACATTGGTATTGTGGTATTTTAACATACTCTATTCCCAGTCCCCTCCCCTCAGGTCTTCTATAGCCTTGAAGACCAAAACCGTTACAATCATGGTAGCTATGAAAACTAGCAGCTCCACAGCCACTGGAGGAGAACAGGTTTAGAGCCCCACAAGAGTTTCATCTTCAGGGAACTGTCACTATTTCACCTGTTTGATAATATCCTAGAAACAGCACTCACAGGGTTTCTCTTTATTTTACCTGAATCAGAGCTTACTCACTAAAAACAGCCTTTTCCCCAAGGTGTTTGTCAAACACAGTAAATTGTGTAGCAATTGTTTAACATCACAGAGGTCTGAGGCAGTGACCACAATTGGGACAAATAAGCTGATCAAAACACTGAAAAGAAAAAGCTGGAGAATCATAAATGTGGATGTGGTGGAGGGGACATCACTGACAAGCTATGATATATTACCGGCAATTTAAAAGTTCATGCACATGTGTAGAACTACGTACATACCCAGAAATGACCTGAGGAAGCCCTAATCTCTCACCTCTGGCTGACTTTGAGGCTTTGGGAATGTTGGAAGTGAAGGTTAAAACAGAGCTGTGAGCTGCCTCTAGGCATAGAAAGCATGACCCAATATGTACACAGGGATCCTCAGGAAAGGCTTGGTGACTTATTGGTTTAAGGCATTTAAGGAAATATAAATCCAGTCACTAGCAAGCCATGAAGCTAACTGAGCAGAGATTTTAGTGGCCACACACAACAAAGAATATAAATTTTCACAGAATATAGCCTTTAGCTAAGGAAAGTAACTAAACAAATGTAAGGCAACAATAACAGCAAACAATAAACCCTGGGAAATAGTGAGAGTCCAATTTATAGAGTTCTACATTATATTACTTAAAATGCCCAGTTTTCAACCAAAAATTATGACATGCAAAGAAACAAGAGTATGTAACCTATACACAGGGAAAAAGGCAGTTAATAGAAACTGAATCTTAGGAAGTCCAAAAGTTGGGCTTACTAAACAAAGACTAAATCATCTATTATAAAAATGTACAAAGGACTAAAGGAAGCCTTGTCTAAAGAGCTAAAGGAAAAATATGGCAATGCTATCTCATCCAAAAGGGAATACCAATAAATAGACAGAAATTATTTTTGAAAAACAGAAATTCTAGAATTTGAAAAGTACAAAACAGAAATGAAAAATTCACTAAAGAAACTAAAGAGCAGATATAAACTAATGAGAACCTGAAAATATGTCAACTGAGATTACCCTCTGAAGAACACACAAAAAAAAAATAATGAAAATTGAACAGGGTCTCAGAGACCTGTGGGACACCATCAAGCACAGCAACATAGATAAAATGAGAGCCCAGAAGGAGAGGAGAAAGGGCCAGAAAGAATATCCAAAGAAATAATGGACAAAAACTTCCAGTTTAAAGAAAAGCAATCTATATACCCAACAAAGTCAAAGGCCTCCAAACCACACACATAATCAAACTTTCAAAAGACAAAGATGAAGAAATCCTCAATAGGATTAACAGCTGATTTCTCATCAGAAACATGAAGCCAGGAAGTGGAATGACTTATCTAAAGTGCTGAAAGACTTTCTTTCAAATAAGAATACAATACCCAGAAAAAGTTTCCTTCAAAAAGGAAGGAAAGTTAAGACATTCTTAAATAAACAAAACAGATAATTCATCACTAGCAGAACTTTCCTGTAAAAAATACTAAAGAGAATCCTTCGGTTAAAGTGAAAGGTCACTAGACAGTAACTCATAATCACACGAAAAAATAAAGAGCACCAGAAAGGGAACTAAATAGGTAAATATAAAAACAGTAAAAATGTTTTTTCTTTCATTTCTCCATTCTTACTTGAAATAGAATTACATAAAGGTACCAATCATTATGTATAAATGATGTATAAAGATACAATTTGTACAAACAACAAAATCGTTAAGAAGAAAGGGAATGGAACTCAATAGAAGCAAAGGTTTCATGTACTACTTAAATTAAAATGGTATTAATCCATACTAGATTGTTATAAATTAAGATGTTAATTGTGAACCCCAGTACAACCACAGAGAAAAAAACTCAAAAAATACAGTAACTAAAATAAGGGAATTAAATTAAATTGACATCAAACGAATGGTTTAAAACTATAATTCAACTATCTGATGTCTATAAGGGGCACACTTTTGATTCAAAGACACAAATGGATTAATAGGTAAATTAAAAAATACACTATATAAGCAGTAACCAAAAGAGAGTTGCAGTGATTATACTAATATTGGACAAAATAGACATTGAAACAAAAATTGGTACTAGAAAAGAGAAGGATTTTTATAAGGAATCTCTCCAAAGTATATAAACAATAGGCCAATATGCAATGAAAATACATTCAAACATCA